ATATATATTTTTTTTAGTTGTAGGTAAACATAATGTGTTTATTTTACTTTATGTGGTGCTGAGGATTGAACCCAGGGCCTTGCACATGCTAAACAAGTGCTCTACTGCTGAGCCACAGACCCTAATAATTGTACATATTAACCATGTGATGTTTCAATACATGTACACATTGTGCAATGTTTAAGCCAGATTAAACATACATATTTTTGCGAAAAAGTGCAAATCTTTTCATGTTAGTGCCCTAGTTAAAAACAGCAACAACAAACCTTATTTGACCTCCCATTGTCTCTAGGACAAACCTTTTTTTTTTTTTCTTTAATCAAAGGACATAGTTTATTAGATGAAAAAGATTGCTTGGAGAATTCAGCCACTTTTCTAGGCAGAACATGGGTATATGTGTAAATCATGGAGTTAATACAGTACATGACCAGGGTTACAACAATTAAGCATAATATCTAAACAAAAAGAATCTCATGATGACTATGAAAACATTATTAATATATAGATGTGTAACTTTCCAAATTGTTTTCATTTATTGACAATTTATTGTCTTTCTCTATTGATATATGTTTGTATTGTATAAATGTAATCATACTGTATATCCTATAACCTATTTTTTCTATTGACAGTCTATCTTGATTAGAAAATTTATCAGTTTCATATCATGAATGTTCTGGTATGCATCAAAAAGTCAACTTTTCGGCTCCTGAACAATTCCTTGTCCTCGCTGTTTAGCTCCTGAGTCTTGACTAACTTTTTTTAGTCCTGAGCCCATGAAGAAGGTTCTTGTTTGTATCACRAGGCCCCTTCTCAGCCTGGAGGGGTGGGAATGGTGGCAGGAAGATCTGCTCTGGGCAGGACTGAGTAGTCTAATTACAAGTCCAGATTAGCGTCCCTAGAACCAGGTGCTGCCRGAAACCTTCCTGCTGAAGAGCCTTGGGGGCTCTTTGGGACCAGAGTTTAGGTTCCATAAATAGCATGTGGCGTGTGGAGTAGAAGTAGTCATGAAGGAGATTAAAGCTTATGGCAGCTTACGTCAGGATGGGCTCACTTAGGCACAGCTGGTCTAACTCTTCCTTTTACTTCCCCAGTTGTGGCTTTTCTGGATCCTGTGCTTCACCAGTAGAGGAATCAATGGATCATTAATTARCTCTCACAATTCTAAAACCATGACTGATGTAAGTTGGTATTTTTCTCTTCTTGAAATATTCTGATTTTTTGGGTCACATGAATTTTTCCCTTGGTTACCCTAAAGCTTTCTACCTAACAGAACTCCAACCCTGAACCCACTTCTCAACCAGTCAAGATGGTGCTAAATAGCCCAGTGTCCGCCCTGAGTGCCTCTCCCTTTTCCAATTAGTGTCTTATTCATTGAATCTAATATTCAACATTTCCTGTGTGCTCAGTCATACATCTTAGATGTAATCTAACAGGATGATTTACTTGAGACTTGGCAATAATTCTTAACTTAGTGGAARTCACTTTTCTAATACAGAGATTTAGAGTACATTTGTGAGTATGCTTGAAAATTTTTGTGAATTTTTTTTCATATTCCTTAAAAGGAAAAGATGGCTAGCACTTCACATTTATAAGGAATTTATAGGTTGTATGTACATGTATACACACACACTTTTTATTTAATAGAGGAGAAACTGTGATTATTTATATATTTCCAGATAGATCTAGATAGCTGAGTTATTTTACTGCATCCAGGAAGTTTTTTTTCTTCCTGCCATAAGAGGATCATTCTAGAATATTGACGTTCTGCTTTGGTTGCCCTGGTTTTCTTATTTTTCCCTAGCTCTATCAAAGGCTTCCAGACTTACTTGATTGATATATTTTCCCTTTCTTCACAGTTTATACCCTCATTTTCTAAGTAATGCGTGGGTTTTGGTTTTAGGAATTGGTGACATTCAGGGATGTGGCCATCGACTTCTCTCAGGAGGAGTGGGAGTACCTGGACCCGGCTCAGAGGGACTTGTACATGGATGTGATGTTGGAGAACTATAGTAACTGGGTGTCGCTGGGTAAGGTCAACTGCTTGAAATAATTTAGAATCTCTTCTCTGCAACATCACCTTTCTCCACAGGACATTATAGAGCTATCTTCAAAGAACACAGATGAATTCCAAGAATGTTTCAATACTTCGTTGGGTTAGAGATAGGTTCATTAAGCACCTTGATTGTCCTCATCCCGCAGTGAGCTTCACAACTTCCTCTGGCCTTCCCTGCAGTTGCCTCTCTTCTTCAATGACCAAGGGGCTTAGTTTGCATTGGAGGACATTCATTCCATACACCATGGTCAGAGAAACCAGGTCACATGCTGTATTTACTTCCAGACTCTCTGTAGATGTGGTCCTCGCTCCTCAAAGTGTGGTTCTTTTTTTTGAGGAACCATAAGAAAGCCAGAACAAAGTTAGTAAAGGAGAGAGGACCAAGAAATTCGTAAGGGAGATCAGTAGGAGCCAGATGATAGGGAGATGTGTTGGTTTTTTGTGAGAATTATAGATGGTTTTCTGAGCGCTTCGATGTCATGGTTTGGTTGGTGGGCATTAAGTTTTATCTTTTTGTGTGAACTCCTACGCAAATAGCATCAGCTTCTGGGGCTGGTCAGAATGCAGCATGTCAGGTCCTAACCCTGACCTGCCAACAGAATCTGCCTTTACATGAGATCTGCCCAGTTATCCTCACACATTCAGGTATGAAGTGCTGCTCTTGGTTATTTTCTGACCCACATGCAAGGAAAACAGCTAGAAAGAGAGACGTGATATACTCTGACTTTTGAGAGCCTCTGCACTTTATTTAGGGGCAGATTCAATGAATAGAATTCATTTAATAGTAAACACATTACTTACAAAAGATTTGAAGTTCAAAGTTCAAACTTATGAACTTTGCGTTGAACATTTTGTTAAATCCTAAAAATGTCTCATGAGATGTGTGGGTTTTCCTCTTAGAAAAATAACAATAATCATGTGCTAATATTAATAGCACTATACTTTACTATATACCAGGCTCTGTTCTAAGCAGTATAAATACATTATTTAACCCTTATAACAGCTTCAGGTACCATCTGTCCCCATTTTTGGTTGAGAATACAGAGGCACATACATTTGAAATGACTTGCCAAGGTCACAGAGGTGGTAGAAGTCAGTGGCAGGAATCGAACCTAGGAAGTCTGGCTCTAAGGTATATGTTCTCAACCACTGTCTATTTTCTCTAGAGGCAGAGCCTTGAATGAGTCTAAAACACAGTCATTTTCTCTTCTCTGAAGTACTTACCAGTATTGTATTTTACCAATATTGTAAACTTCACTAAATTTTTTGAGCTAAGAAAATGTCTACACCATAAGGCATTTATTTTCTTGCAAGCAGACACTCCGTTCCTAAGGCAGATATGACTACATTTATTAGAGAAAGGGAAGAGCCCTGGATGGTGTGGGAGGGAGGACAAGCAGGTGGAACCCAGGAGAGGCAAGGCAGGGCAGAGGCAGGGAACATCCTCTCAGGTCACAGAGAAGAAGGAGCACCTGGGATGGGGCTTGGGAAGTTCCCCGTGAAGGACCAAGACCCATGGAGTGAAGACCTGAGACTTAGGATGAAACAGAAATCTCAGTTTGAGCTACCAGAGGAATGTCACTTCTTTTTTCTCTTTCCACTGCAGAACCCAGGGCCTTGCACATGCTGGGTTAGAGATGGGCTTTAAAATTATTTAATTAAAGTAAATATGTAGATTTGCTGGGCAAGTGTTATTCCACTTAGCTGCACCCCCAGCCTAGAATATCATCTTCATCCCATTTACCTGTTTTTGTTTTCTTTTCATATTTCCTGCCTATTTCGATGAGGAAAGTATTCTATTTATACTGGTGCAACCATTTTACCTGTATGTTGAATTTAGTTGTGCGTCTAAGTGAGAAATGAAGATATGTATTCATTTATAAATTCTGCAAATATCGTATTGAGTACCCACTCTTAGCCAGGCATTGCATGGGACGCTATCAATACAGTTATGAACAGGATTGAGAACTTGYCCACTTTCATGCCATTTACCTTATAGTGAGTGGGGCAGGAACACAAATAAGTAAGCAATTAAATAAATACTATTCTGTAATTAGTCATGTTATTCAGGAAAGGTAAACAGTATAAAGGAATAGAAAGCAATGGGAATAATTTTGATAAGATGTTCAGGGAAAGCTTTTTTGAACAGAGACACAGTCTGGACTAGTAAAATATTCTGTCCTATCCTGTTCAAAAATAGCTTAGATGTGTGGTAGAAGGTAGCCAAAAACATGAAAATCGGTGTCTTGAAATCTAAAGTATACACAGAGGTGTGGCAAAGTTAAGTTTTTATTTTCTACATATACTGAAGAAAAGAACAGGAATTTCCTCTTACAGAGAGGACAGTTTATCCCAAGGTCGTTTTCATTTTGCCCTTAGTTCTTTTGTGTCATTTCATGCTTTTGTTACTCTTTTCGTACATGATGACATGGCATTTCTGATGCATTTAACCACACTAATATTGTCATAACATGCTGAATGACAATACTTACTTTTCCATCTTAAAACACAGTTGGCAGGGGCTGGGGTTGTGGCTCAGTGGTGGAGTGCTTGCCTCGAACRTGTGAGGCAYTGGGTTTGATCCTCAGCACCACGTAAAAATAAAAACAAATAAAATGAAAGTATTGTGTTCATCTACAACTAAAACTATTTTTAAAAATACAGTTAGCATATTAGTGTTTTGTAAGATGATGTGTGGCATCATTGATCTTCACCATTGATGTTGATGTTTGAGTTTAGTTGAGTGAAAATGTGTTTTAAAATAGTCAAGAAATAAATAAACTTAACTGAACTATAACTTAAAAGTATTTGCTCTGTTTTATGAATAGCTTCTTAGGAAATAATTATGTCCAAAAATTATTTACTGTCAAGATCATTGTCACTGAGTGTGTTAGAGAACTTATAATTTATTTATTTATTTATTTAGTTTGTTTTTGGTGCCAGGGAGTGAACCCAGGGGTGTTTAACCACTGAACCACATCCCAGCCCTTTTTGTTGTTTGAGACAGGGTCTCACTAAGTTACCCAGGGCCTTGCTAAGTTAATGAGGTCGGTTTTGAACTTGTCATATTTAGGCCTCAGCTTCCTGAGCTGCTGGAATAAAAAGCATGTACCACCAGGCTTGGCTTTAAAATTATTTAATTAAAGTAAATATGTAGACTTGCATAATTTGCAGCATTATCTGACATTATCAGAATCAATCCTTTCATGCAAATCTGGCTTAATTTAAATAAATATAAATTTAATTGAGCATGCATTTTTGTCATTGTAAATATTTATGAAAACAACATTAGCTTCATCTCAGAGTTTGGCAAAGAATGGTCCTGGAAGCCCAAACCACCTGTTTTTGTAATTCAAGGGGAATTGGGATATGCCATACCTATTTATGTTTATATAAMATCTTTGGCTGCTTTCTTGGTAAGAGGGTAGAGTTGAGTAGTTGGGACTGTATGGTCTTTTATAGAAAAAGTCTGCCAAACTCTACTTATCTAATGAGTACAACATATATAGAAAAATCTACATAGCACAAAAACTTTTGAAGTTGTTTTACAAACTTTGTAAACCTAATAGCAGTGCTTTTCGTTTTATCTTATAAATAGAACTATTACTTTAACTGGGAATCAAACTCTTTTTCCTTAGATATAGCTCTAGCAAGCACCAAAGATTTTCTTGAAGATCTATAACACTTTAAACACTGGGAGTYAATTTTTTCTGTCTTAAAAAATTGTTTCAAGTTGGGCCATGGCTCCAGCACCTGGTCCAAAAAGAGGGCCTAGGACACATCTCTGTCCCTTCTGCTACCCTGTGCTCCCTGCCATTCCTCTGTTATCTGCATAGCTGCAGGCACCACTGGGGACTACATAGGTAAAGTCTCAGCATGTAAAGGCACAGATGTGGACACCTSCCACCAGACTGACTAGGAAGAGGCCAACAGCACCTGTTATATCTGGCTTTTCCCCAAGGCCATTATATCGACAGTAGGGGATTGGGAAGGGCAGACGTGAACCCTGGGAACACTCTAGTGCACTGGGGAGAAAGAAGGGCTCAAGCTTGAGGCCCAAATCTTTTGTGTCCCTTTGTCTTTCTCAGTCTCCGTTGTGTCTAGGAGATGGTGAACTGGTTGGGTTCTAGTGGATCCCAGCCAGATTACCTGAGGATTGTCTTCCCACCCACCTTCCATCATGACTGGGTTCTGATGATTGCCCTACCTGAGGGTTCACAATCCCAGTTTTGCAGAATGAAAGTCAATAATATTGATGCAATGGCAATAAATAAAWTTTTAAAATTAAAAATAAATAAAATAAAATAATTGTTGAATTATATTTTTCAAAGTTTATTTAAGCACTTGTTGGTCTCTATAAATGTAGCTCCTTAGATTTTAAAAATTTAAAAAATTTTCTCCTTTGTATTCTAGAGGCTATATGGAATTGAAGAAGCATGTTAAAATTTAAAATCTGCTAAAAATGGCTACTGTAGTTCTAAATCATCCTGAATGAAAGGCTGCCACTTTGTTGGATATGCCTGGGAGTTAAGAAAAATAGTGCATATACATATAAAATGCTGAATGCCCTAAAGTTGTCGTTTTGTGCTTGCAGATATTTTATTTAAATCAGAGCATATACAAAGGCATTATTTCTATGCTTTGAGGAGATACCAGTGATGTAAAGACTGATGAAGAGGCCTGGGGTTGTAGCTCCATGGTAGAGCACTTGCCTAGCATGTGCGAGGCCCTGGGTTCGATCCTCAGCACCACATAAAAATAAATAAATAAATGGTATTGTGTCCATCTACCCAAAAAAAAAAAAAAAAAAAAAAAAGACCAATGAAGAATGTTTTGCCAACTATATGGTCAGGGCAGTCTAGCAGTGTGGTAAATCACTAGATTGTGATCTTGCCATGGAATAGGGTGTGGCTCAAATTTTGATTACCTGTGGGATTCATTACAAAATTACAGACACCAAAATCCACAGTCAATGACTCAAGCCAAGTATAAGGTATAGAAAGTGACACAATGATTTCCTGTGAATCAGCTACATTGGGCTCTATGACCCAGTATGCATATAAGCCAATTAGAAAATAGAGATCATTCCTTATCTCCTAATAAATTCCACACAAATAATCAAACAGTATATCAGGTTTGGAAATACAGACAACAAACTCTGGAGTGAATAAAGTCTTTCAGGACATTTTGGCAAGAGGAAAACAAAAGGAAAACAAAACAATCTAGATGTTACAGAAAACTTCGACCAGGTTATACAAACATAATCAGCTGAAGTTCCTAATAGTAAGAATTTGATCACCATTAAKATTCATGCCTAGCAAGGGACATTGGATAACCACACCCTGGAACATAAGGGCTTGACTGATGGAAGCTCACATTTTGGTTTAAGAGACTCTCTGCATGGCTTCTCAATGTGATCTCTGAATTCTCCCCAAAACTATCAGATCATTAAGATCACAAGAKCTGAAAAATAAAAGTAATTTGTTTAAAAGGGGATAACTTTGATGCTCAGGAGTAAGTTCAGTAAATCTCCTAATCCAGTTTACTTATGGTAAGTATTATCTTAAATCMCTCCCAAACCCCCTTCTGCACTATAGAAGTTTTTGTTTTTCTGGTAAAGGAAATAAGGAAATGTGTTTTTTTTCCTTTCAGATTTGGACTCAACATTTGAGACCAAAAGTATATTTTCAAAAAAGGACATTTTTGAAATAAAATTTTCCCGCTGGGATACAAAGGAAGAAAGTAAAACCCTGGGCCTTGAGGCATCCATTTTCAGAAATAATTGGAAGTGCAAAAACAAATTTGAAGGACTACAGAAACATCAAGAGGGATACTTAAGTCAAATGATTATCAGCTATGAAAAAATACCCACATACAGAAAAAATAAATCTCTTATTCAACAGGAAAGAATTCATGATAGAGAGAAACCATGTGTTTGTAAGGAATGTGGAAAGACTTGTAGTTATGGCTCAAAACTTGTTCAACATGAGAGAACTCATATAACTGAAAAACGCTTTGAATGTAAAAAATGCGGGRAAAACTTTTTTAGTGCCTATCAACTGAGTGTGCATCAGAGATTTCATACTGGTGAGAAACCCTATGAATGTAAAGAATGTGGCAAGACCTTCAGTTGGGGATCCAGCCTTATTAAACATGAGAGAATCCATACTGGGGAGAAGCCCTATGAATGTAAAGAATGTGGGAAAGCCTTCAGTCGTGGCTATCACCTTACTCAACATCAGAAAATTCATATTGGTGTGAAGTCTTATGAATGTAAGGAGTGTGGGAAGGCGTTTTTTTGGGGTTCAAGCCTTGCTAAACATGAGATAATTCATACAGGTGAGAAACCTTATAAATGTAAAGAATGTGGGAAGGCCTTCAGCCGTGGCTATCAACTAACTCAGCATCAGAAAATCCATACTGGTAAGAAACCTTATGAATGCAAGGTTTGTGGAAAGGCTTTTTGTTGGGGTTATCAGCTCACTCGACATCAAATATTTCACACTGGTAAGAAACCCTACCAATGTAATGAATGTGGGAAGACCTTTAATTGTGGATCAAGTCTTGTTCAACATGAGAGAATCCATACAGGTGAGAAGCCTTATGAATGCAAAGAATGTGGGAAAGCCTTCAGTCGTGGTTATCGTCTTACTCAACATCAGAAGATCCATACTGGTGAGAAACCTTTCAAATGTAAGGAATGTGGAAAGGCCTTTAGTTGGGGTTCAAGTCTTGTTAAACATGAGAGAGTCCATACTGGTGAGAAATCCTATGTATGTAGAGAATGTGGGAAAGCCTTTGGTAGCAGGTATCAGCTTACTCAACATCAGATATTTCATACTGGCAAGAAGYCCTACCACTGTAAGGAATGTGGGAAGACCTTTAACTGTGGATCAAGTCTTGTTCAACATGAGAGAATTCATACTGGTGAGAAGCCTTATCRGTGCAAAGAATGTGGGAAAGCCTTCAGTCGTGGCTATCATCTTACTCAACATCAGAGGATCCATACTGGTGAGAAACCTTTTGAATGTAAGGAATGTGGAAAGGCCTTTAGCTGGGGTTCAAGTCTTGTTAAACATGAGAGAGTCCATACTGGTGAGAAATCCTATGAATGTAAAAAATGTGGGAAAGCCTTTGGTAGTGGCTATCAACTTCATGTTCATGAACAATTTCATTCCAGTGAGAAACTTTATCAACATGAGGAATTTGGGGAGACCTTTACTCATAGCGCAAACTTGGATCAACTTGAGAGAACTCATGGTAACAACAAACCCTGTAGATATAAAGATGTGGAGAGGCCTTTATGTAGACAACTCACTCAGACAAGAAAATTGATACTGGAGAAACCTTGTAATTGAAAAGATATGAGAGAACTTGTTAAACATGTTCAAGTCTTGTTAAACATGAGAGAGTCCATACTGGTGAGAAATCCTATGTATGTAGAGAATGTGGGAAAGCCTTTGGTAGCGGATATCAGCTTACTCAACATCAGATATTTCATACTGGACAGCTTAACATGAGCAGAAAGCTTATTCTAAAGAAACCATACGAATGTATGCCAGGCAATGGTGGCACATGCCTGTAATCCCAACTACTCAGGAGGCTGAGGCAGGAGGAACTCAAATTGAAGGCCAGCCTGGGTACTTTGGTAAGACCCTACCTSAAACTAAAAAATAAAAAGGACTGGGGTTGTAGCTCAATGGTAGAGCACCCCTGGGTTCATTCAATTTTTTGAATGATATAGCAGGAAAAMAGAAAAAGAAGCTCTGTGAATGTAAGGAATATGCAAAAGCTTTTCCTTATGTGTATAGACAGTTTACTTGTCATCAGCAGATACATACTAGTGAGAAATATTTTGAATATAAAGAATATGAGAAGACATTTAGATTTTTGTGTGATCTTAATGAACATCTATTTACACTGATGTGAAACCATTTCCATGTATGATGTGAAGATCTTTATTCATGGCACAAAGTCTAGTCAACATCAGAGTTAAACAAGTTAGAAGC